TCTTCCTCTTCTCTTTCTTTTTCGATTAAAATATTTCGATATTGTTGAGCTGTTTGTTGAATTAATTCGATCGATTTCTTTTCCCATTGATCAATTTGTTTCATCGAGGAAGAAACGGGTTGTTTTTGATTGATTTCATCTCTAAACTGATCATAATCATTGATAATCATGTGGAAATCTTCGTTTAAACTCTGCAGATGTTTTGTTAAATCTTCAAAACAAAACTCTTTTGAACAACCTCGGCAAGGATAAATGATTTTGTCTTTGTTACAAACGAAACATTGTTTTTTGTTATTTGCCATTGCCATTACTTTGAAGAAAATGATCGAAAGTAAAAAAAACGATCGATGTGAATCGAAAAGAATCAATGTGAACAAAACAAAAATAGTTGGAAGAAAATTTAGTTTAAATAAATCTGAATCATCATGAAAACAATCGCAGAAGAAGAATGAAAAAGAAGAAATTTCGTTGGAGAATTTTTCATCAAAATCGAATTTGTTTCTTTTTCTCCTCTTGGAAAAATCCCAGAAAACCGAATAAAAAGATCAATCGATCTGATTTTGTTAATCAAAAGACGAGGATTTATTTACAACAGTCGACTGATGTTTCACAGTTTTCAACTTTATCGGAGAAAATCAGAATAATTAAGGATGTGAAACTCTTTGATTTGTTCGAAATGATCTTTATTAACGATGAACCATTAGACGAAGATGTCTTTCACTTGACAAATTATTCGTTGAATAGCGAATAGAAATTCATGTTTTCAATAGAAACAGAATTTAATATTGTGATTGTTTAAATCTTCAAATTGAACTTTTATTCGTTTTTCAGCTGAACATGAAAATTTTTCTAATGTACCAAGATTTTTGTTTATTCTCCTCTTATAACATTACTAAATTTGTATGGATCAATTGATGTGATTTTTTTTCTCGTTTGTCGATCTGAACAAAACACGACATGTAGAAATATTTTTGTCTCTACATTATTTTGTCTTCAAATATGAAATAAAGCTCAGGTGTTCTTCTCTCATTTACCCCAAACATCCTCTTCTCTTTCTTCTTATATTCTCTTGTTTGTACTTTATCGAATCTTCTACTTCTATTCTTTTTCTTCACTTTTTACCCAAATAAAGTTTTATCCAATGTAAATTTTCGTTTGTTCACTTGATCTGAATTCTCTTCTCTCTATTTTCCTCGTAATTTACAAAATGATTTTACATCAATTCAAAGTTGACTGTTTCAAAGTTTTCATCGTTTTGAAAAATATTTGTGAAAGATGTAATTAATCACATATTGGCAAACTTATTTTCCTTGTAGAATACTCAACACGCTTTCTCACACTTTAGCTCATAGATATTTATCAGTGGAAAAAAATTCAAAATCAGTGTTGGTTTGTCGGTGGAGGATTAGTCGGATTGTCAACGACCCTTTTTCTACGATGATGTGGAGGGTGTACTGTACTAGTTGCCCAATTACGAGAGTTCAGTGGAAAACAATACACTTTGTCTGCTGACTATATGGTAGCGGCAAATGGTCATGATAGTCCGATTTGTAGAATATTAGGTATTAATTGTAGTAGACGTGGTCATATTCGTTCTGTACGAAGTGCTCTGTTTTCTGCGCAACTTGAAGAATATCGTCAGTCAGGAGTCAGACAGTTCAAAATAAAACAGCCAGATTTTGAAGATTTCTTTACGACCTGTACAAACCCGCCCAAACATATGATAGTTTCTCACATTCGTCCAGGATTTCTGAAAAAAGAAGAAGAGGCATTTGATAAGAGAGGTGAACCTTGAAATAAAGTAAAAGATAAAGTTGTGCTAAATAATGTTCAGAAAAAAGAAATGCCTCCACGCAGGATTGAACTACGGACCTCCAGTTTACGAGACTGGCGCTCTACCACTGAGCTATAGAGGCCGACAGTTAAACTTATGCAGAAAATCGAGCTTTATCTTATAAAAAAACAGAAGCATTCCTCTAGGACGGAATCCTAAATACAAATATTTTAATTTTCTCTTGTGTGAAAAATACACGTAAAATCTCTTGGGAGAAAATTTATTTGACGAAAGAGTACGAGTTTTATATGTCGGTATATCAATATCATTATGTATTGTTGATTTATGCGAAGGAAAAATCATATTTCTTGTTTTCGCGTCATCGACAGAACTGTAAAAAAAATTGTGCAAACATAACGATGACATCATCATGGGTTATTCCTTCGGAACCATGCAGTATGTTGGGAAAGATATACGCATATAAATTAAAGCGCTCTATCGCAGTATTTGTTTTGAGCAACATTGTTCGAAACTTGACATGTAAGTACATTGCATCATTTCAAAAGCCAATTTGATTGAAAATGTCAAACATTTTCTCAAGGACGACAATGATCAGACGACAATCTACGCGTGAAATCAAAGAGATGATTGAACTAGCACAAGTAGGAACACATCGGATAAGTATTTGACATTTTCTGTATTTATTTAAGCCCATCAATGGTGACTTAGTTCAAACACATATTCTCGCAGCATGTGTATCAACCGTTGGTTATTTGCTTTTAAAATTACGTGAATACTATTATGAAGACGGAATATCAAGGGAGTTACTTTGTCTAGTTGGAACAGTTAAATGTCGGTATAAAGGAAGTCAGTATAATATTCCAATTGAAATATGGGTCCAACCTGACCATCCGAATACTGCACCGATAGCGTATGTTAAACCAACACCGGAAATGTATATATCATCCAATTGCAAACATGCTCTACCTGATGGAACGATCAGAATAGCATATTTGACGCATTGGGATCATGTATAAAAATATAGAGGATAACTTTTTCGATTGATTTTAGTTTCAATTTCTTTTAGACAATTAGTTCTATAGAAGGCTTATTGCAAGCAATGTCACAAGTATTTTCACAGCAACCTCCTGTATATTCAATTGGTAATGGTACCATTCATCCGATCCAATATCAACCAGCAGCTACAAATACAGCTTCGCCAACATTTCACAGTATAGTTTATCAATAACATGTCATGATCAAAGAATATTTTTCTCTTCAGATCCGACGACCAGTGCAGCATCAAATTCTGATATTCACCAAAGAAATAATTCTCATCGATTTTCCGATATTCTCGCCGAACCAAAACGAATGCTCTTACCTATTCAAGGTTATGAAAACATGTCTCTTGTTTCTCTTGAACAAGCCGTACAACCTCTTATTCCTTTCGTTCCACAAGTCGAACAGATGGTCTGGATTGCTAAACAAAACTGCCTTGATCCACAACATGGTTTAACTGCCGATGAATCAGCGGCTATCATGATTTACACGATGGGATGGGAACCAAATGAATCTTCGTTCTATCTTATTCTAAATCAAACATTACGGTCGCCGAATCGTGATCAACTAAAACCTTGGTTTTTGTATCTGCGATTGATCATTAATGCATTGGGGAAGCTTCCAACAACTCAACAGAATGTTTACCGAGGCGTGAAGTTAGATTTAAGCGATCAATATAAAAAAGATAGCACTGTTGTTTGGTGGGGATTTTCTTCATGTACATCATCAATTGAAAAGCTTGAAAATGAACATTTTTTGGGGAAAACTGGCGAACGCACTTTCTTCAGTATTGAATGTAAATCAGGTAAAAGTATTCAATCACATTCATACTATGAAACAGAAGATGAAGTTCTGCTTCTTCCTGCTCGACAATTCCGCGTTACTGGCTGTCTTGATCAAGGAAATGGTTTACATCACATTACATTAAAAGAAATCGATCCGCCATTCGATCTTCTCAAACTACCAACGATATGACTTGAAGGAGCGATTTTTATTCATTTGTAGTCTGGAGAAAAAAAAACGAATGCTTTTGACAATAAATTTTTGCTCAGTTTGTACAATCATATTTCAATGAAAAGATCTTCGGATAGCCGTAGCATGGATCTGAGAAAAATACATTATTCACCACAAATTGACATGTTGAACTACCTGAGCTTGTCGCACAGTAAGAGGTAACGTTTTGAGTAACATTCATTTCAATACAACCAGTGGGATGGCAAAGGCATCCTGAATCATCGCGAACTCCATAGAAAGCATCCAGAATTCTAATGTTTGGTGTAGGTGATGTGCAATTGGCGGTTATAGTGGTCCCTTCCGCTACATCACCTATCGTTTGAACTCCTACATAATATAATAATAAGGAAATTTAGACGAAAATATCTGTAAAAGTTTACCACTAGTGATTGAATCGTTGATGGGCAACGAAGAGAAATAAACTGAACTTTCAAAATTGTTTGTCAATAGTAAGTAACGTGTGGTAACATTCGGAGAAAATGTTTCGCATGTAGCATTATTTCGGAAACAATTAAAGGACGAAATTGATAATGGATTGTTAAGCATGATGCAAAGACATTCATCACAAGAACCATTGATAAGGACGGATGAGTTGGAATTCAGGATTTTCATCGAAACATTGTGAATTACTGGAAATACTTTCGCATAAACAGAATATTGTGCAAAATATAAAGAGAACACGATGTAAAGTGTTACACGTAACATTTTGATTGATAGTCTGACAATGGAGAAAATCGAACTTTTCCTCTTATTCAGGACACTTAAGTACGTTCCTTAGTATTTTAAACGAAGAAAGGTAAATACTCAAGTGTCATTCATTGTAACATGCTATTAATAATTGACACTGTAGATAAAGAAAATTCTCATCAACAATTGAAAACTTAGCAACGTATACAACGTGAATTTTGAATTAGGAATTGAAATCAACCTGGATGGTTGTAATGAACTTCAAGCTTAGCGTCATGTCTCATCTCCATCTCGATTATTTCAAGATTTGAAAACAATCAAACTGCAGACTTTCTCCTTGAAAATTTTCTCGTTCTGCTTTCACATGTGTGTATGTTTTTTTTCTTCTGTTCCTTTTGTAGAGATAAATATTCAAGTCGCACACCACGTTTGTGAGAACAAATCAAAATGAATAAAAAAAAATGTTATCGTTGTCTTCAACAGTCTTTCATGCAAAATACACCAGACCGAATGTAACAGTGTCTATCGTCTAAATAAACTTTTTGAAGATAAAAAGCCCTCTTTATTGCTAAAGAACATTAACACCAACTTTCTTTTTTCCAACTTAGAGTAAACTCATCTAACAAAACGAACAAACAAAACCACTCCAGACGACAAATACTTATTTTCAATGTCACATCCTCACTCAAGAACATCTGTTGCCAATCCTGTGTCTGAACAAAGTGCTCGTCGAAATCAGCCATCAGATCATGCAAAGGCTATACAAGACCTCTTTCAAAGTCCTTCTACAAGACAAGAATTCACTGATCTCGTTTATGAATGGTTTTCGAAATATGATCTATACAATCAACAATATCAAAACAATCGTCTTTATAAAGATACTAAATTTATAATACAGTATGTTAAAGAGACTTTAGTAACACCTAAAGATCCGAATCTATTGCCACTACGCATCGATGCATATTTCTATATACTTTGTCGAATTGTGGAATATACAATGTCCGAAAATGGACTGATGGATCCGATGGAAGACTTTCGACGGGTATTATTGATGAAATTGGGACAAGAATTCAAATCATCCAAAGGCAAGAGTCCGGAATTATATACGACGCAGAGAGAGATACTCAGAAGAATAAACATAAAAAAGCATCTGTCATCATTCACTGATATCAAAGATGCATCAATGTTGATTCAATTACTTGCAATGTGTAAACTAATATTTCAATCTACTACTATCGTGCACGAAACATGTCTCTGTTGGCTTGACCTCTTACACGATGTTAAACAGTGGAAAGTATCGCTAGCAGATTTTGTCAAACAATACGCTACTTACAAGGAGACATTCAAACCGTTATTTCCTCTTGATGCACCGGCGTTCATCTACCTTATGCGAGTGACATATTCATCGAAAGAAGACCAACCTATTTCATTTGAAACTATTCGTAATATGTTATCTTTAATAGAACTGAAATACGAAGCGTTCTTCTCTGAGTATCGAGTGTTGTTCGCTGAAAATATCAAACAGAACTTTTATGAATATCCTTATATCGCCAGCTTACTACAAAGCCTTTGTTCACCCAACGTCATCCACTATCTCGAGTTCTATTTAGAGGATTATGTCTTAAATACTTCGTTTAGTAGATTGTGGAATTGGCTGTTGTATTATACGGAACACCATGAACTGAAATCTAAAATGGAATCTAGTCTGATCTCAATCATGAGAAATCATACAATGAGAATATCCCTGGCAGAACTCAATCATTGCTGTCAAATGACGAATAGTTCCATTGAGAAACTGAAAAATATAAACCTGATTCGACTGTCTCGAGTTCTACAAGAAGTGATTTATGTGACTCTCAATATGGAACTTTACCGTCAAGTCTATCAACATCAAATTTTAGAGCAAGATGCGAAACAAATTCTGATGGTTCTACTGAAAATGAATTGGACGTTTGAATATACAAAACCAACGTATTTATTTATTGTTTTACACTTGCTCTTTATTCCAAAAGATTCAAGTCGAAACAAATTTGAGAAACTTACATATTTATTTCATAGATTCAATGAATTCAATGAGCCGATATGTAAAAAACTAAAACCTGAGAAAGGTGTACAAGTTCAGTGGTTAAATGATTATTTTTCCTTCGTTCCGAATGATTGGCTTCTCTTAAATCAAGATAACTATGAAGAACTCTGCAGCGCTCATCAGAATAACCAATGGTCATTATACATTTGGTCGAAAATTGTCTACTCAAGTGCTATCAACGTCGATTTCACGAAAGATAGTGAACTTCTTATAGCTATGAATGAACGATTAGTCGAAGTTCAACGGTGTCAGACTAACGATATATTTACACGTATTTTCGTTAAAAGTTTGTTTGAATGCGTCATGAAGAAACATAGTAAATCGCTACTGTGGCTTCCAAATATTCAACCTATGATTGAATACGTTCTGAATGCTCGCGATACTGATTTGCCTGGTATTGACAAATCAACCGTGAACAATTTTGTGGAAATCGTGCAGACGTCAATCCGAACTGCCCTTACATTGGAAAGCGAATCCATCACATATCGCCGGCTAAAGCAACCATCCATTGTACCGTTGCTTCTTTCGCACATGGACTTCGAGTGTATTCTCAACGCTGTTGATCCCCAACAGTACAAATTTCCGATTACAAGCTTGGGTATTAATGATATTATGTATGCACAGACTCCTGATGATATCGACATTCGTAATTTGAAACCGGAGAAAGAATTCTTCGAACGATTTATAAAACAAACGAATGATTGGCTGGATTGGTTTGAAAAATTCGTGAATATATTTTTGTACATTGTTGAATGGTTTCGAACTAACAAGATGGAAGGAGCCGATGAGCTCTATGAAGATATGTACCGATTAAGGTATGATTCGTCAATAACCCTTCTCGCAACTAAAGCAACCATTCAAGAAATTCTGAACGTATTCGAAAATTTTACTGATTTCGAACGTTTGTCTCGTCTGTTTAATTGCGCACAAGCTTTCGAAATAACCGATTCGGGAAAGCTGAGTACACCGGATCAATACGAACCTTTTCTTAAGGAAACAAAACGACTTCGATCGAATGATACATTTACAGTGAATCCTAAGACAACCGACGAAAAACTTCTTTATATTGATTGTCGTCGTCACATACGTTGGTCACTTGCATGTGAACAAGTTCCGGATCAAGTCGTCATCGAATACCAAGTAAATGGCTCATCGAAAGAAATCTATCAGATATTTAACGGTAAAGATTTACCTTTAAATCAGTGCGTTCTGCGAGGAGAATTCAAAACGCAACAAGGCGGTCATTTACATATGAGAGTCGAAAATTCACAACCGAATCTGAAATACACGCTTTGGTATCAGATCAAAAACACGTCCTTGTCAACTTGTCGACTCTTCGTTGGTATCTTCGACATTGAATGTAAAAAATCTTTCAAGCCACCGAATGATATAATCAAAAGGAACGAGTTGAATGATGTGATAGAACGAGTGTTTTTATTTCTTGATAAATTGTTAAATGGTACCATCAGTCTAGCGACAATGAACGAATTTCATTCAGTATTCCACGATGCGAATATCAACGTTGCGCAGGAAGTTCAAAAACTATTCGCTACACAATCTATCAGTGGTCATATACCATTGCAAGCAACGACTAATGATCAACAAGTAAATCAAGTGTGCAAATGGTTACAAACTTATCAGTACTACAGTCATTTGGATATCATTATCGATTGTGTACAAAAGTTCAACATAATATCAAACGATACGAATGATCAATCGGTCAATCATCTTCAAACTTTAACTCTCGATGAGAATTGTCCTCTAAGAGAAATATCCGACACTTACAGAGATGTTTATGATCGATTTGAAAGATTGAGTAGCGAACATTTACAATTGATCAAGACTATCTTAAAATATCCGAACGTAGTCAATATGATGAAAGAAGCGAAGCTATATTCAACTGACGGTCGACGTCGATTTCAGCAGCTACAAGATAACTTAACGACACAATTTCAGCTACAAGAACGTAATAGCATGATACTTAACTCATGGATTGCCACTTTTACATTATCTGAACCTTTTGCTTGCGATGCACACAGCTTAGAACACTTTGTTGATAATGTAGCTCGATTGACGGTAACCGACGAGAACTCATGTGAGCATATTTTAGTTGTTAACCAAAATATTCAAACTATCGAGCTGTGGTTGTCAAATGAAGATGCAACAATGTTGGACAATGCATTAGTTATGATGGAATATTTGTACAAAACAGGTGTGGTGAATATCCATTTGCAGCGATTGATCAACAAGCAATCGCACTATGATATCGAGTACTCGATTGGTGGTGGTGATAATAAGCAGCAGATCAAATCCACAATGCCGATGACTGATGTTGCTGATCATCGAAGACAGCTGACATTTTGTACTTCGGACTTGTTGGTTAACGAAGCGTATAGAAAGGATTTAATAACAGAACAATTGAAATTATTGGAAGTGGTTGAGAGAGTCTTTTCTATCCAAGTCAAGTTGGAGAATTCAGGTCACCCGAAATATCAATGTAAAGAAGAACATTACCAAATCTGCGATACTCTAGGTATGAGATTAGATTTTCAGAGATGAATAGCTCGTAAATATCATTTTAGATCAGCTCAAGAATATCTTAGTGGAGATAAAGTATAGATCAGATCAAGATTTACAACAGCAACAAAAACAACTCAAAGGAATCCTCGTTCAAAGGACGAGACATTTTGAATATGTTCATTGTCAATTGGATGGTCACTATAGGGCATGGATCAATGATTTAGAAAGCTATCGGAACGAAAATCCACTCTTAACATTACTTTCCAATCGTCAAATAATGATAATGATAATTCTTTTGACGTCATCGACATCACCGAATTCAATTCGAACGCTCTTTCTCAAAAATGTTTTTCCATGTGAAGATCTTTGCAGTTGTACATCACAAATGTCAATCAAGTGTCTACAGCATTATTTAGAATCATTGAGAATAACAAATTCCGTTCTTTCTGAAGAAAAACTCGTTGAACTATACGAAAAACATCAGATTAGCGAAGAATCAACAAGCCAAACTAGTTTGAAAGCCTTATCTGATTTTATGCAAGAATTGTACATCAATAAAGAAGATTTCTATTCGAAAAATACTTTTCATGTAGAAAATCAACAGTATTTAGTTACGTTGAAGTCATCTGAACAACAGACATCGACTGATAGACGAAAATACAGTTGGGATCGTGATGCTTATTGTGTCTTATTGAACATCTTCCGTGATCGATTACCAGCAAACTATCAAATTCTCTGGGGTTCAACAGCAACCGAGGATGACATTCGCTTGTTTTTCCTACGTGTCCGACAGTTTGTCTCCCAATCATTTGTTATCTTAGATATCGACGAAATGCACCATCGTCTTCGTGCTCTCCTATGGGAACAGCAAGGATCATTGAGTATCCAGCGCAAACCTCATGCAGCAGTTTATTATTTCACAAAGGAATCGATGGCCAATAGAAAAGGGATTCGACCTTTTCATATGATACCGTCATACCGAGATTCAACGAAAACATTTTTGCAATTCACTCAATTGATGAGAAGCCAAAATATCGAATTGCCCCAGATTAAGATCATTTCTGGAAAAGCCGGTGTGGGTAAGTCTCGTAGCGAAGAATTTTTGCTTCTCTGATCGAATGTGCATGACTTGTTTTATACACGCATTTCTCTTTCTCTATTTGCATTAGGAAAAACTCATCGAATACGCAGTGAATATTCTCGACAGAATCCTTCGTGTATTACGATTAACGATCAAATCAATCTATTGACTTTGATCAGTACTCTATCTTCATTTTCATCAAATACCGAAGCATGTCTTTACATCAATATTTCTCTTCATGCACCATTCGATCAATTAAATCATCTTCTATTTTCCTTGTTTGTATGTCGATCTCTGATTGACATCGCGAGTGGATTGACATTTTCATTACCATTACAAAATCCATGGAAATTCATTATTGAAGTACCGCATACCGATACATCTGGACTCACTCCATCGAACTACTTCAAAGAAATTCTGCCAGTCCTGTCGATTGTGTCAAGTTCGTGCTTGGAAGAAGTAACCGATGAAAATTATCAATTATCGATGGGCCAGGAAGAAGAACTGGTCGCGCGATTCTTCAAAGCATATCAAGAAGGAACAATCGATCGTTTATCTGATGGTGACCTAACTGTTGACTTTGCTCCACTAAACAATCGTGACGAACAACGTCAGTATATATACACTTGTTTAGACACTTATGCACACGATTTACCGCGAAATAAAATCTTCCAGCTTTCTTTCACGAAATTTTTGTACCGACGCGTTCAGTTTTTCACTAAACCTTACTATCGTTACAACTCGTTGACTCTTCGACTTGGCTCAATTGCAATGTCTCAAATGATCCAAGAAGCGAACAAGTTATCCCGAGTGGACTTTTCTTCTCATGATTACCATCGAATTTATTTAGTTTACGATAGAAACTTCGCTCTTCAACTTCTACATAATGATTGGAATTCGATCTCGTTGGAATTGAAGACCGTTTTCAAAAATATCGATCCAAAACAAAGGATCATCAATCAAGGCAAAAACTATCTCGCGGAATGTTTAGCATGGCTAATCAATATGAAAGAAGGTGTTTTCGAGAAAATAATGAAAGAAATGAACTTTATTTTAACGGAAAACTTAGTTTATAAGTTATTTCACATTCACGAACGAAAATTAACGAAATTACCATTGATTATCGAAGGCGAAACAGGCGTTGGAAAAACGTTTCTTCTCAGGTTCTATTCTGCACTATTGAATGCGTGTATTTCACACGGAGGGTTTCATGAGAGCACAACAGCAAAAATATCCGAACGAACGAGCGCGTGGTTATTGAAGGAAATCATCGGAAAGATTCTAGAACCAAACAACGAACTCTTATCCGAGTTTTTGCAACGAATGCGGAACGATAATATCGACGATGAAAATAGTCCAGAAGAACAACAGGTGATGCTTTTAGACATTAAACAATCACTAGAAAGTCATCAGTATAATGATAACCGTTTGAAACTCATATGGAAAACGATAATTACTCTGGTTGATGAACGCGACAAAGATCTGGGTTTAGATCTTATTGGACGTTTGTATGGTTATATCAAAACGAAATTCGAAGAGTTGCCATTGATTGAAGCCAGTTGTAAATTGAAAAAATTACTTAAAGATCAATCATTTACTGTCGAAGAGTCTATCGAAACCTTCGGAGAATTCTTAATTCATACGCGAGTCAATCCTGTTTTCTATCGACTTCTTCTACATCCTGGCATCACCGAAGCAATGATTGTAGATTTTATGTCTCCGATATCTCAACTAGCTGCTCGTTTACCAAAGATTGAAATCGTCGTATTCTTCGATGAAGTCAATACATCATCATGTCTGGGTACATTCAAAGAAATGTTTATGGATGGTACATTGCATGGTAAATCTCTACCAAAGAATATCTTCTTTACTGCGGCGATCAACCCCAAGCGAACTATTGATCCAAATGAAGCAAATCAAATTCATCGACATGATTATTTTGTGCATCATTTACCAGAATCGCTGGAAAATCTGAAAGTTTCCTACGGCACTCTCGATCGAAACACATTAGAAGAATATATCAAACAGAAAATCGCGACATTCACTTCTGGTTCACAAACTGACCATTCCATCGAGGACAATACACAAGCAATGTTGATGGAATCGATTCTAAACGCGCAACTCTTTTGTAAAGAACGTCTTGGTAAGATTTTGACATGATATTCGGTTAATATTATCGAATGAAACCTTATTTTAGGAGAAAACTCTGTTTCACAACGCGAAGTCCAGCGATGCTTCAATCTAATCGACTTTTTCTGGAAATTGAGACCTAACGAACGAAATATCCAACGATGCATTGCTTTGTCCATTGCGTTAATATATTATTTTCGTCTTCCGACTAGAGAAGATAATATCCAAAGAAATGATCACGAAACACCTTCGCGAGAAGACTTTGAAGATATGTTAGAAATAACTCTACCTGCTTTTGCTCAAACGATTCAAGATGAACTCGACAGATTTGTTAATACAGAGAACTTCTTAATGCCACCTGGCGTAGCTATCAATCAAGCTGTATGTCATTCCTCAATTTCTCGGCTATAGTTTCACGTTCTTTCTTTAGATTCGTGAACATATCTTTGCGATTGTTGTCAGTGTTGTCACACGAACTCCATTGTGTATTATTGGCGAGCCCGGTATGTTTCTCATGATTTCCGACCGAAAATAAACACCTGTATTTGTAGGTCGATCAAAAACTCTTTCATTTCAAATTGTTCTCCAGAATCTTCAAGGTTCACATTTATCACCGAAACCTTTCTGCCGAAATCTACCTGCACTCGACGCATTCTTCTGTCTCGGTTCCAAATACACTCGATCAGAAGACATCGCTTATATTTTCGATCGAGCGATCAAACGCGAGGAACAATATCGGCAGATTCGGGCTGATAAACGATGTGTAAGTAGTGTTATCCGACTCATCTAATGACACAATTCGTTGATTTTTTTTATTGTAGGTGGTTTTCTTAGACGAAGCTTCATTGCCGGATCAGAAGACCATGGTGTTAAAAGTGTTACACCCGTATTTAGATGAATGTCAAGTAGCGTTCATTGCCATAGCCAACAAATCTTTTGATGCAGCGAATGCTAATCGAATGATCTGCGTGTATCGATCAGTGCCATCACAATTCGATCAGAAAGTCTTAGCCTATGGTTGCCTCGGCCTACCAATGACTAATAATTCGGCACCAATGAGAAGCAATCTTGAGAAAATTATCATTGGATTATGCGAAGGTTATCGTAAATTACTGATTGATAAAAAAATTCCATCGATTTTCCATGATCGAGATTTTATTTACATGCTACGAGAATTGCGATTTGAACTGCCGGCAAATACATTAAATGAAGATGAACATACTGATTTACGTGTAATCCAACCGATCGCGTTGTTACGCGCGTTAGAAGACAACTTCAACGGAATCAAATCGGAAGAATTTCAATATTTGATGAATCTTTTCTTTCACGAAATACAATTACAACTACCGGATTTTACTCTACCGAGTATTAGACATGATCGAAGTGTTTATCGCGATGTTCCAACAATCCTTCATGAATCATTGAAACTCGATTCGAGACGTCGTCGATTGTACGGACGTTATAAATTACTTATTGACGAATCGGAAGATGAAAGTGCGGTTCATCTTCTGTTACAGGCTGGTATATTCGATACGAACTCTGATCGTACAACCATTTTTCGCATGTCGGATTTCACTGATGATGCTGAGAACGAACTGCGCAATGTTGAAATACTCTCCACAATCAAATTATCGATGGAATTTGGAAAAACTATTCTAATGGTAAACACCGGTCGGATACATGGATCTCTGTATGATGTGTTCAATCAGAATTTTTCCATTATGGCAACAGGTGATACGAGAAAAATCTTCTCGAAAGTGTCAATCGGTGCGAAAACGAGTGATGTAGTCGTTCATGAAGATTTTCAATGTATAGTTCACGTAAAACGAAGCGAGTTACATACGATTCCTGCGCCATTTCTCAGTCGATTTCAGAAATATTCATTGAATATTGAAGATTTCTATCGCATTCGTGTACAAAAGCTATCCAAAGATGAGCAAGACATCTTGAGTTATATTGAAGAGCGAACTCAATCATTTGTCAAGCATGTCGGACGACAATATTTCTATGGTTTCAATGAAAATACTCTCTATTCGTGTTTACTATCTTTGATTGAAATGAAAACTGACCGAGAATATTCGCTATTCGATATTTCTCAGTTCTATACGCCATTGTCTGCTCGAATCAAATATTTCACCGGATTAGATCCTTCCGATAGACAACAATGTCTTTTCCGTATTGTTCTCGTCAAATTAATCCAACTTGTGTCTCCCGAAACTATAATTTTAAAATCACGAACGTTCAAATCCGATTTCGCTCAGTGGTTATGGAATCTGTATTTTCACGAGCAAGAACACTTCAATATCGACAATTTCTTCAAACAATTGATATTAACACCATCGACAACCTCATCAGAACAAAATGTTCATCAAATTACAAAAGTCATGATCTTTACTCGAACGTCATCGTATATTGTCGGCATGAATCAACACTTCGCACACGGATCTACTCCTGACGACCTTCGTGACAATGAAGAGCATGGCGAAACGCAGAACATTCTTGATTTAGTAAGTGAAAGGATTGTTTTGTCATACTCGCTTTTGACCAACTCGACTATTCTTTAGAGTGCTATTGAAAATCCAAAACAATTACAGGAGAGATTCGATGAATTTCGTGCGAATCACCAGAAGAACGTTCTTCTCATCATTATCGATGGTAACAACGATCAACAACGCTTACATATCCCATACATTCGACATCTAACTGATACCATTGAACATCAATGCAATGCAAACATCAACAACGAACGCAAATACTTCGTCATTCTTATTCATTCAGCAGCACAAACTTTATATCACCAATCGTGTTTTCCATCGATATTTTTACATAATTGGGACTTTCACTTTTTCGATACTTGTGCATCGAGTAGTGCATTCTACTTACAAAAGTTGTTACAACTATTATCACCATCAGCATGTCCCAATGAGCTGGACACAAGTAACGATGCAACTCACTATGATCTGAGTATTCTTTTCGAAGATTCCCTGTGGGATTTATGCTCGCGTATTGAAATTACAGCGCCGAATCTACCTGCAAAGATGTTTAGAACACCTGGGACTTATGAATTTTACAGACAACAGACGAAAACATTCCCACGAGTAAAATGTCTGAAAGATATTCTTCAAGCATCGCCAGATTTACAGAAAACACTAGTTAGTATTTATCAACAGCATTTATTTCTGACAAAAAATTCATCGCTGAAAAAGATCAATGATTTCATCTATGGCATTGCTAAAGATATTCTATGTGGGAAACGATTCGATGGTCTGGTTGAATCTATTCAAACAGAAACGCGAAATTCATTCATAAATTTCATGTCGCATATCTTTAAAATCATCGCAAATGATTACGGCCTGGAAACAATATCCCAATTATCGTTAAGACAACAGAACTATGCAGTTTTATTCCAATTAGCTGATTTAGAATCATTCACTGACGAAAACAATGACGATATTTTCATTTCGAAAACAACGCACGAGACCATTCGTATCATAACGAATTATTCATGCATATTCCAAACACCTTTGTTTCATTTATTCCATCAACGAATTCGATCATATGCGAATGCTATCCAATCGAAAGGTAAATTTATCAGTCTCAACTTTTCTTGTCTGAAAACGCGTTCTAGATATCAACATCGATTCGAATGAAACGAGCAGAACGAATTCATCGACATTTCAACGGTTCCGATCTGCTTTGGTCGACTCAATTCAAAAAGACAAGATACTTCATGACGCCATCGAACAAATCAGCGTTTCTTCGTACTCATCGGACTTGGTACGCATGGCCTGTGCAATTATTGAGAATAACTTTGAGTACGATCGTGATCAGTACGAACGAAGTGTGAGCATTATTTCCCATTGGACATCGCTCCGCGATGAAGATGACAACGTTGAGCATAGAGATCACGTATGGCGTTTGGCTCATGTTTATGCGACGTTAGAATATGAACAAACCGATGTTCTTTCGATGTACTCAGCTTGCCGAATAATAAACCGCTTCGATTCGATACAATCGTCGTTGAACGACCTATGCAATGAGATATTTATAACTCGATCAGATTTCCGAGAACGCTTCTTTCGACTAGTTTTCGATCAATTATGGGAGAATCTCGTTGAAATATCTTCGAACAACCTGAACTATCAACCATGGGTTTACGCGTATTTATTTATCTCCAAGTATCACCCATCGGAAGCAGTTCTTCTGCGCATACATCTTTTCACGATTCGTTTTCAGATCGAATTGATGAAACTGGCGTATCGAATATTTCTCAACGAAACAATCATCGAACCACAAAGATTAGTGTTAAGATTATTGCGTCTGAATTCCAGATCAAGTTGCTTAAAAGTGTTGCCGGAAATAATTGAAATTATCCAAGAGCATCACCCGGGAAATATAACATTGCTAGGCGACGTTCAGCAATGGATTACATCAATTTGCCAATCAAATGACCTACCATCAGAAGCAACGCTTCGTTCTTTACTTACGTATTTGAATCGACCTTTGATGCTTACGCCATTAGCATCGAAACAGTTGGTATTCGATCAAGTCATTGATTTATTATTACAAACCCAACAGAGAGAAAGATCACAGGTAGATTTATGGGATCGTTTCAATCTCATTCCAATCTTGGTTGAATGTATATCTGATGTTAATCATCCTGAACAATATCGAATTCCTTTTCATCCGTCGGTAAACCAACCTGAAAATCCGAGAATACCTATGTTTGATCTTTACTTTTATCATCTACGCAGTCAGATGACGGATGATACTGTCACACCAACATTTTTGAACAAAGGACTTCTCCATCCTTTACCAACCATACGGAGAGAAAAAACGAGACTGATAGCAAATAATTTGTTCAACGAATTAAAAAACTACTTCCTTTCGATTATGATGGCTCTTCTACTTTGCAATCCGAATCTCACTGAAGCTCAAGAACCCGACGTTCGTCATAAAATGTCCACTCTGACTCGAAGTATTCTTTCCGTAGATAGTACAGCGACACGTCTCAGTGATCCGTTGCAACTGTTTCTTTCGACAATTATATCCAAACAGTCATGGTCTTACCTGCTAAATGTCCTCGAATCAGACAGACTTAAAGAAATCAACGAAAATTGGAGGTCTACTCTTCATCATCTGCTTCAAGTAGATCAAGCTAGACATCGAAGTCCACATTTACACTTGTCACATCAAATACAATTCACTTACTCACATGAAATTCCAGATTCGCCAATGTTCTCCGAAATGAATCAGCGTTACGTTCGTTTACGGGAGGTAATAGACACATGCGTTCGAAATCAGACTGACGAAAACCGATGGGAGTTGTTCAATTCTCATATGAGAGATCGAATTCATTCTACCTCTACGGATCTCGAGAGAAACAAATACAAATCAATGTTACTTTTGATTATTTATTATGATTATTATTGTACAAATCGATTGGAGTCGGTTCGAGCATTGATGAATGCCATTCCTGATTTATTGTTCTTGTTGGAAGAAGAGAAAGTTGTGTTTCGTGCTTTGCTGGATCCTGAACAGTTTATCGTTGGTTATCACGACGAAGTCGAGAAGAATTCTCTGAATGAAATCTTCAACTTGAATTGCTCTACTGAATTCGAATTAGCTTTACGGCATTTAATGGTCAATTTAATGGCGATGATTCTATTAGCAGGTCCGCAATCTTTTTTGTGGACGTTTGCATTTCAACCTATACGTCTGGAAAACACCTACGGTAAGTTTTACTCTACTTCGGAAAAGAGAACCTCATCTACGCATCTGACTGATATCTCTTTAGGCTTTGGATCGGTTTATCGAGCAACAATCCAAAGTACTGGCGTTCATTATGATTGTGGATGCATCATTTCAGAAAATGGACAATTGATAATTCCTTATGGTACGAATTATAATGGGATGTTGAACGTTCCCGCAATATATACGGCCTATTTTTCTACGTTTGGCGCGCTGGTATGTTGAACTCGACATTTGTCTCATTTGTTTTCTTTGTTGCCCTTTTAAGGCCTGGCATTTGCTGTTGTTTAGTAACTCCGTATTGAATTTGTACGGTCCGATTCTTTCACCTTCCGCAATTGTTGATCGTAATGCAGCTTTTCGACAGGCTGGCGAAAGTCTCCGTTCAAAAACTTGTCATTTCGTTCTGGCTCGATTATTGTCAACATTTCACTTCTTATCTCTTCAATTTAACCAAGAAGATACCTACATCGTCTTGACTCGTTGTTTCGAAAGAATGGCTTCGCTAACTGTCGATGAAAATCAATGGATTCGACCAGTTTATGAAGTCTTTTCAGACAAAGTAATAGCAGAAGACCTTTACCAAACCAGTGTGTTCTACTACGTGTTAGATCGATTAGTCACTGATAGAGTCAATATAAATCAAAGGATTCTCCCGTGTGAAATCCAACTTCGCTTACAAGAATTCACCGAGCAAATGCCAATCGTGTTAAATCTGAAACATTTTCAAACAGCATTCCATCGTTTGAACGCACAATCATCTACTTCCTTGCAGCTTCTTCGGTTCATCTTCGATTCGTTGGAAGTGTTGGAACGGACCAAATACATCACTAATCTCACACGATTTTACACTTTATTGCATCAAACATACACGCATTTGATCAGCGAAGATGAATTCCATGAAATCACTCTACACGAGCTACAAATTCGCGCACAAAACCGATCACAACACTGGAACGACACCGACGATAACTACGAGCAAAATGATCATTATACTATCATCGCTAAAGGTATCGAAGCGGTCAATAATTACCACGAATATACTCAAGGACTCATCAAACCAGGTGCTTGCAATCAATCTCAACAGTTCGACAAAGTCTCAATCGATACTCCCGTTAGTTACCTTCTCACAACAAACAATGACGACGAAGGCAATATCATCATGCGCATACTCAGGTAACACAACTATCTTGTTCATCTACAGGGTCATTCTAATAACTGCTTTTAGTATCCTGGTTGATTCGCATAATCATGTTTTGAATTTACTCAGTGAAGGAAACTCATGTGACCCTATTCTGGCGAATCTGGTCAAGGAGATCGCTTCCAAAGAAGTATCTATCTTGCAAATCGCGAACTATGATACGGGCATTATTAATTTCAACGAACAAGATCGGAAATCCATTGAAAGATGGTGTTTATCAAGTGTGATTGATAACGACGAACAAAGTTTCTTCAATGAGATTTCCTCATTAAAGTTTGATTTTCAGTACATTCAATCTCAAATCATTCGAAATTATCTTCTACTTTGTCGAATCAATTATCGTCATATCCAACAGGTATACCAATACCGTATCACACCAGTTTCTACAACTTTCCCAAGACCCGATCGTCCAATACTCGATCTGGATGAAAAATATTGTATCGAACTCACCAATGAGCAGCTAGAAAACGACTGGACCTATTTACGAACGATTTCATTGGATAATCTTTATCATTCGTTTGTACTATTACGGCAACTTGCCTCGACATTGAAAACCGATTCTAATCGCGCTGATCTATCAACGAGCTTATTCGACTTTGCCGAGCGTATCGATGAGGATAAAGAATTTCTCGAACGAATTCGACAGTATCAAATCAAAGATTTTCCTTTATGTCATATTGATCATGTGATGAGACTCTACGTACAGTTGATACATGGATTTGAGCATTTGTTCATCGACATACCACTCTTCCTTCGAACTCCGATTCCTCTGGAATTGAATGCGAGAATCTTTGAGGAATTCAATCAAAATATCAGCCAGAAGGACAGCCTCGAAACGATTCAAACAACGATTGAAATGATAACACAACTTTTGAATGACCTGAAAAATTCGAGGAATACTTTCCTTCAACAATCTTCGAGATCATTAGTCGAAATCTGTCGTATTTGTGAAATAGATAGTCCAATCTTGGACTGGATACCATCGGAAATCTGTTGTGAGAATTATGTCCCAATAAACATTCATCTAGTTCGAATACGCTCGATTCTTCAAGAACGAAAAGTCAACATCGAAGAGAGGGCGATTCAACTATGGCATGAATACACAGATGACCGCGGAGATACGAGTGATAAATCATTACGTTCGAGTCCAAATGATCCACGAGAAAGCACAGAACTATTTCAATATTCAGTTTTGTTTAAACTCGAAATGCGACGAATTCCATATTCATCAATGAATTTATTTCGACAATTGCAACAATCTCAAACACCAGAAGTATTGACTTCAACTCGACCACATAAGTTTACGATTAAGCGTTCTGATGGAAACGGACCGGCATATATGACGAGAATTGATAAAATTTCCGAGCGCCTACAGACCTTCGTCGATGATCAACATGTGCTTTTGGACGCGAATGAAATCGTTTTTGATTTTGGTACTTCGCAAATCTCGTCGCTTGATTATCGCGTCGTGGAAAGAAAAGATTTGATTTCTGTTGAGTTTCACTTTCGTCAGTCAATATTTCAATACTCGACAGTTGCAACGAATCGAATAGTGACAGTTATACAACATTTTCTCAATGTTAACCAATCAGCACTGGTTTCAGTCGATACTCACCTTTGCTTTTATGATGAGATTTGGATGTGCATTGAAGATGTGAAGGTGGCCAATTTGTACAGGAGCAAGGAAAATGCGATTGTGATTAATGTCAAGAAGAAACCATCAATGGATGATATGGAATGTGAAATAAGTGTCACCGATATGGAAAATGGTGCTCGACAAACGATTTTCTGTGATATGATAGCCACATGGGAGCACATTGAATTGTGGTTAAAACAGTTTTCTCAAAAAACTGATCGTGCCATCGAGAATGTCGCTTTTTTGTCACCAAAACAACACTTAATTCTGGATAAAACTGAACCACTCAGTTCCTTCGTGACTTCACCAGAGTTCAGTGCTATCAATGTGATCGATCAACAATCGGTCATGTCGGTAACTGTGTATTACAAAGATAGTTATCAAAGTGTTCAAGTTTTCAAATCGATGAAAATTATCTCGTTGTTGAAAAACGAATATCTTCAGAGAATATTCAAATTCGGAGACACGGTGCCTGAACACTTTACGATGAGTTTGGAAAAAGAGAACCAGTCGATTCCTCTATCTAAACACGATGTTCAGAAAACATTGCGAACCTTCTGTACAACAGAGAACGATGAGCTCAATATTCGATTGGTGGTATCAAAAGTTGTGACAATCCATGATGGTGAAAAAGAGACTACCATTGTTTTACCGACAGAAAGCATGACGACGCGTGATCTGCTAAAGCTAATTAACACAGACCGGTGTTTAGCTACAAAAGACACGAAAAGAATTCTAAAGGAGAATGAAGTTATTTCTTTTATACAGGAAGATAAGTTTCTTCTCGTTGATAGAGAAGATGTCTGTCATGTTGCAATCACATCATCAGTATTTGTCGTCGAGAACTGTTTTAGTTCCAATGCTACCATCGTCGATGTTTGCAATGAACAACAAATCAATCTTGATACTCAATATTTGCTTTACTTAAATGAGATTATTGCAGCGAAAGAAACTCAATTAATTTATTTCATGGCGGAGACACCGATTCATTTCACTACTACGGAAAATAGTTTCCCAGTGACCGTGAGAGTGAATTTGGATGAGCATGGCAAAATTATTCAGTTTAGTTGCAATCGCACAATGACTGTAGAACGCTTGTGTTCTATCTCATGCCGTCTATTTAGTGTGTTAGAAGACAACGCTGAGTTACGATTAACCGACGGAACGAATCTTGATGAAGGCTTATCGTTGAATGACATCGATGCAACAAGGACAAACTTCGAATTTCTATTGTGTTCATCTTTATGATTATTATCTTGTTCGACTACATATCTCGATCGTACAACTGTGTTCCCATATTCATAAGCTACGTCAAAAAATGATTTCCTTCTCCATCGTCTTCGAATGTGGCAGTGGCAGTTGAATTGAGTGAAAACGCTTTCGCTCATTCATTATTTTAGTGATTTTTCGTTTTTGATAAATAAACTTTGATTTATCTGCACAGATTTCATAAAGAAAATGTGCCTTGTAAATGTTTTATCACTTCATCACCTCCACTATATTTCGAATTGATCCGAATGAAACTTCGTCTTCATTCGAGTTTACCCAATTAATTCGATAAGAAATGAAAATTGAGAGCGAACGAACAAACAAAATTGTTTTAATCTTTTTCTCCTCTCTATATAAAATCAAATCGAATTTCACTTTTCATTCTAACGCAACGATGAAATTCATCTGGTGTATACTATTCATTTGCGTACTTTTCGGAGGAATCAATGGTAAACACGACTGTTTCTCTCGCTTTGTTCATTCGTCTGTTTGAATTTTCAGGTAAAGGATTTTCACGATCGCGAAAGGGCGATGTTCTTTATGAGAACAAGCTTTATGGATTTACAATAAACAGACCGAAAGATTGGTACGTCGCAAGTCCAGCTGAATTATCTCATTTAATACAAATCGCGAGTTCGCTGATGGAGTCGCATAAACATAAATTTTCTCATGTTCTATCGAATTGGTCTGTCGAAAACATTACACCTTTGTTTGGTTTTTCAAAATATCCATTGAACGCAACTGGTGGTCAACTGAATCCAAATATCTTATCGATGACGGAGAATCTGAACGCTTACCGAAATGTGAAAAATCCATGCGATTATTTTGATGTTAATCAAGAAATCTTGAAAACTTTAGCAATGGGTATGAAATTCATCGGAACGTGTCAAAATGTGAACATCAATGGAGAAAACTTCAAAACACATAGCATTCAAACAAAATTTCCGAACTTTCCTTTGATTAAACAAACATTCTACGCAAAAATTGTCAAAGACAATCAACTGTTCTTGGTTTTACTTACCTATTTCAATCGAAATAGCAAAACTCAGCTAGAAAACATCATGAAAACATTGAAATTCACGAAAAATTGAATTTTTTTTCCTTTTCAAAAGAAGTCCTAATAAATCCTGCAGTAGCAAAACTCGTTACCATCATTCCCAGCACATTTGCTGACAGATGTCTTTCACTGTTACGATTGGTCACGTTAAGAACGAAGAAAAATCTTCTGCGTGTAACGATAAGGTTCACGCAGAAAGGAAAAAAAACGCACAACTCTATAACAAATTCTTACAATGCCAATCGCGAAGCGTTCGTGTGCAACTTGTAAGAAACTCGCAGGTGTTTTCACACGGCATGTCCAAACGTAACGTTGTGACGTTTTTGACATAATGTTCATTAATTATCTCGAAAACTAAAAACGCGACAGAGCTCGTTCACACGTCATTCGATGCAACTCGTTGTGCTCTAATTATCCTGAAAAAAAGATTGAATTTAATAGAACTCTTCAATTCCCACGAAGATTTTTTGTCTATGTAACACCGTGACATAAAAGGACCCTAAAGTTGTATTTNGGTTGTTTTTGATTGATTTGATCTCTAAATTGACCATAATCATTGATAATCGTGTTGAAATCTTCATTTAAATTCTGCAGATGTTTTGTTAAATCGTCAAAACAGAATTCCTTTGAGCAACCTCGACAAGGATAAATGATTTTGTCTTTGTTACATACGAAACATTGTTTTTTGTTACTTGCCATTGCCATTGCTCTAAAGAAAATAATCGAAATGAATCGATGTGAACAAAACAAACATAGTTGGAAGAAAATTTTGTTTAAATAAATCTGAATCATCATGAAAACAATCGCATAAAAAGAATGAAAATGAAGAAATTTCATTGGAGAATTTTTCATCAAAATCGAATTTCTGTTTTTTTCTCCTCTTGGAAAAATCCCAGAAAAGCAAATGAGAAAATCGATCGATCTGATTTTGTTAATCAAAAGACGAGGATTTATTTACAACAGTCGACCGACGTTTCCCGGTTTTCAGCTTTATCGGAGAAAATCAGAATAATTAAGAGTGTGAAAACCTTTGATTTGTTCGAAATGATCTTTATTAACGATGAACCATTAGACGAAGATGTTTTACTTAACAAATTATTCGTTGAATAACGAATACAAATTCATATTCTTCCAATACAAACAGAATTTAATATTGTGATTGTTCAAATCTTCAAATTGAACATTTATTTGTTTTTCAGATGAACATGAAGATGTTTCTGATGCACTAGGTTTTCGTTTATTCTTCTCTTATAACACTAATAAAATTGTATGAATCAATTGATGTGATTCTTTCTCGTTTGTCGATCTGAACAAAACACGACATGTAGAAATATTTTTCTCTCTAAATTATTTCTCTTCAGACATCAAATATAGTTCAGGTATTCTTCTTTGATTTACCCAAAACATCCTCTTCTCTTTCTTCTTATATTCTCTTGTTTGTACTTTATCGGATCTTCTACTTTTATTCTTTTTCTTTGCTTTCCACCCAAATAAAGTTTTATCCAAAGTAAATTTTCGTTTGTTCACTTGATCTGAATTCTCTTCTCTCTATTTTCCTCGCAATTTACAAAATGATTTTACATCAATTCAAAGTTGTCTGTTTCAAAGTTTTCATCGTTTTGAAAAATATTTGTGAAATATGTAGTTAATCACATATTGACAAACTGATTTTCCTTGTAGAATGCTCAACACGTTTTCTTACACTTTAGATCATAGATATTTATCAGTGGAAAAAATTCAAAATCAGTGTTAGTTGAATTGTCAACGGCCCTTTTTCTACAATGATGTGGAGGGTGTACTGTACTAGTTTTCCGATTACGAGAGTGCAATGGAAAACAATACACTCTGTCTGCTGACTATATGGTAAAGCGGCAAATGGTCATGATAGTCCGATTTGTAGAATATTAGGTATTAATCGTAGTAGACGTGGCCATATTCGTTCTGTACGAAGTGTTTTGTTTCCTGCGCAACTTGAAGAATATGTTCAGTCAGGAGTCAGATGTTGAAGATTTCTTTACGACCTATACAAACATATGATAGTTTCTCACATTCGTCCAGGATTTCTGAAAAAAGAAGAAGAGGCATTTGATAAGAGAGGTAAACCTTGAAATAAAGTAAAAGATAAAATTGTGCTAAATAATGTTCAGAAAAAAGAAATGCCTCCACGCAGGATTGAACTACGGACCTCCAGTTTACGAGACTGGCGCTCTACCACTGAGCTATAGAGGCCGACAGTTAAACTTATGCAGAAAATCGAGCTTTATCTTATAAAAAAAACATAAGAAACATTTCTCTAGAACTGAATCCTAAATACAAATATTTTGATTTTCTCTCGGGAGGAAGTTTATTTGACGAAAGAGTACGAATTTGATATGTCGGCACATTAACATCGTTATCGTATTGTTGATTTATGCGAAGGAAAAATCATATTTCTTGTTTTCGCGTCATCGACAGAACTGTAAAAAAATTGTGCAAACATAACGATGACATCATCATGGGTTATTCCTTCGGAACCATGCAGTATGTTGGAAAAAATATACGCATATAAATTAAAGCGCTCTATCGCAGTATTTGTTTTGAGCAACATTGTTCGAAACTTGCCATGTAAGTACATTGCATGATTTCAAAAGCCAATTTGATTGAAAATGTCAAACATTTTCTCAAGGACGACCATGATCAGACGACAATCTACGCGTGAAATCAAAGAGATGATTGAACTAGCACAAGTAGGAACACATCGGATAAGTATTTGACATTTTCTGTATTTATTGAAGCCCATCAATGGTGACTTAGTTCAAACACATATTCTCGCAGCAAGTGTATCAACCGTTGGTTGTTTGCGTTTAAAATTACGTGAATACTATTATAAAGGCGGAATATCAAGGGAGTTACTTTGTCTAGCCGGAACAGTCAAATGTCAGTATAGAGGAAGTCAGTATAATATTCCAATTGAAATATGGGTCCAACCTGACCATCCGAAAACTGCACCGATAGCATATGTTAAACCAACACCGGAAATGTATATATCATTCGATTGCAAACATGTTCTACGTGATGGAACGATCAAAATAGCATATTTAACGCATTGGGATCGTGTAAAAATATAGAGAATAACTTTTTCAATTGATTTTAATTTCAATTTCTCGTAGACAATTAGTTCTATAGAAGGCTTATTGCAAGCAATGTCTCAAGTATTTTCACAGCAACCTCCTGTATATTCAACTGGTAATGTTACCATTCATCCGATCCAATATAAACCAGCAGCTACAAATACAGCTTCGCCAACATTTCACAGTATAGTTTATCAATAACATGTCATGATCAAAGAATATTTTTCTCTTCAGATCTGACGACCAGTGCAGCATCAAATTCTGATATTCACCAAAGAAATAATTCTCATCGATTTTCCGACATTCTCGCCGAACCAAAACGAATGCTCTTACCTATTCAAGGTTATGAAAAAATGCCTATTGTTTCTCTTGAAGAAGCCGTACAACCTCTTATTTCTTCCGTTCCACAAGTCGAACAGATGGCCTGGATTGCTAAACAAAACTGCCTTAATCCACAACATGGTTTAACTGCCGATGAATCAGCGGCTATTATGATCTACACGATGGAATGGGAACCAAATGAATCTTCGTTCTATCTTATTCTAAATCGAACATTACGGTCGCCGAATCGTGATCAACTAAAACCCTGGTTTTTGTATCTGCGATTGATCATCAATGCATTGGGGAAGCTTCCAACAACTCAACAGAATGTTTACCGAGGCGTGAAGTTAGATTTAAGCGATCAATATAAAAAAGATAGCACTGTTGTTTGGTGGGGATTTTCTTCATGTACATCATCAATTGAAAAGCTTGAAAATGAACAATTTTTGGGCAAAACTGGCGAACGCACTTTCTTCAGTATTGAATGTAAATCAGGAAAAAGTATTCAATCACATTCATACTATGAAACAGAAGATGAAGTTCTGCTTTTTCCTGCTCGACAATTTCGCGTTACCGGCTGCCTTGATCAAGGAAATGGTTTACATCACATTACATTAAAAGAAATCGATCCGCCATTCGATCTTCTCAAACTACCAACGATATGACTTGAAGGAGCGATTTTTATCCATTTGTAGTCTGGCGAAAAAAAAACGAATGCTTTTAGCAATAAATTTTTACTCAGTTTGTACAATCATATTTCAATGAAAAGATCTTCGAGTAGCCGTAGCATGGATCTGAGAAAAATAAATTGTTCGCCACAAATTGACATGTTGAACTACTTGAACTTGTCGCACAGTAAGAGGTAATGTTTTGAGTAACATTCATTTCAATACAACCAGTGGGATAGCAAAGGCATCCTGAATCATCGCGAACTCCATAGAAAGCATTCAGAATTCTAATATTTGGTGTGGGTGATGTGCAATTGGCGATTATAGTGGTACCTTCCACGACATCACCTATCGTTTGAACTCCTACATAATATAGTAATAAGGAAATTGAGACGAAAATATCCGTAAAAGTTTACCACTAGTGATTGAATCGTTGATGGGCAACGAAGAGAAATAAACTGAACTTTCAACATTGTTTGTCAATAGTAGGTAACGCGTGGTAATATTCGGAGAGAATGTTTCGCATGTAGCATTATTTCGGAAACAATTAAAGGACGAAATTGATAATGGATTGTTGAGCATGATGCAAAGACATTCATCACAGGAACCATTGATAAAAACGGATGAGTTGGAATTCAGGATTTTCATCGAAACATTGTGAATTACTGGAAATACTTTCGCATAAACAGAATATTGCGCAAAATATAAAGAGAACACTATGTAAAGTGTCACACGTAACATTTTCATTGACAGTCTGACAATGGAGAAAATCGAAGTTTTCCCTCTTATTCAGGACACTTAAGTACGTTCCTTAGTATTTTAAACGAAGAAAGGTAAATACTCGAGTGTCATTCATCATAACATGCTATTAATAATTGACGCCGTGGATAAAGAAATTCTGATCGACAATTGAAAACTTAGCAACGTACACAGCG